AGAAACTAAGTCATGAGGATTTATTTTGTTTGATTTAAAAGAGGCATACAATAAGAAAAAAGAAAGGGCAATAAAGAAAGAAAAAACAAATTATAAAAACATAATCAAAATTAAAGAGGAACTAAGCGTGGTAGAGCCAAGCCCTTACTATCCTTGTTTGAAATTCTGAATAAATTTAAAGGATAGAGTTCACAAATTGACAATATTGTAGGGTTGCATTGTGCTCGCTATGATGATAAGTATGTGAGTTTGGAATTAGGATTCTTTACATCAAATTTTATTTATCTTTGGAAATACTTGATTTGTAAATAATTGTAATGATAATTATCCCCTCCTTCACACTAACATTTCCATAAAAATATCATTCAATCATTATGAGTTCATTTTGTTTTCTACCTCCTAAGTCCTAATCAATTTCTTTCTTTTTAGTTAATTTTCTCCCATCCTTATCCTTTCATCTTCCCCTTCACCTCCATATTTCACATTTACATCTTCTCCATTCGTTATATATGTCGATACAACTCGTGCATCACACTAGTCATTAGACTTTTTATAGTACAACACAACCACTAAACAATACACTCACTTCATTTTATATCTCTACAATCATAATATGTCAAGAAATAATTAGCTCACGATGACAACAATTCGATATATATAGTGGCTTTCTCATGTCTCATTCTAGCAATTATATATATATGGGAATTGCTAGAATGAAAATGAGAATATGAGAAAACCACTTAAAAGTTGGCATATGTCCCACTTCCTAATTTTTTAAAAAGCAAATATTCCTTTCTTATGTACTTTGTACTTTATAAGGGACACGTGACAGTTTTTAACTGACTTTCTCATATTCTCATTTCTCATTCTAGCAAATCCCTATATATATATATATATATATATATATATATATATATATATATATATATATATATATATATATATATATATATATATATATATATATATATATATATATATATTTAAACTGACAAATTTAAGGCATATTCAACAAATTATAGCTGTGGAGATGACTGTTAGCTGTGGTATAGTGACGGTTACCTGTCGACAAGTTGTTAGCTATGAAATAATTTAAGAAATTTCCCATTCATTATCATGGGGTTACTTCATTAGTGTTGTAAGGATTACTCAATCAGTGTTACAGGGGTTACTTCATTAGTGTTATAGGGGATACTCAATCAGTATTACAGGGTAATTCGGTTGGTATTATAGATGTTACTTTATTTTTTTACAAGCGCCCATATGGTGTAACCAACCGCACACAAAATAATCTGTTCAAAACTTTTAATTTTTAATTTTTATTCGTTATGGGTATAACTTTTTGTCAGCATTGTCATTTGTTTGGTTATACGGATGGATTAGACATTGATATGATTGTATACCATCACTTTGTCCTTTACTTATAATTGGTGAGAAACTAGTGAAACTATGTTCCATATGTTTTTTTATCAAGTTGCTACTTGCTAGCAAAGTATCTTAACAGGAGTTAATGAGGCCCATTAGTTAGCGATTGGACAACTGGCCGACGTAATGGGCTATTTGTTACTGTATATATATGGTGGGCTCGGGTATTTATTGAAGAGCTAAAAATTAAAATAGGACACAATTGTTTTACCGTGGATAATTAACCTACAAAAGTACAAGGACAAATAAAATAAAATATAAAAACAAGAGCTAAATTTCCCATTCATTTTTTTTTGAATAGTCCCATTCAATTTATTTAAACATAAAATTCTATTTACGTTTTTTCAAAAATATTAGCAGGTTAGGCTATATTTGAGAACACATGCTAAGCACCTTATATGAAAAAAAAAAAGAAAAAAAAAAATCTGAAAATTTAAGACACCGTAATGTCCATGAATGATAAAGTGCTGAAAAATTAAGATACCTTAAGTTCAACTATACAGTGAGACAATACTAACACTAGTAACACATCTACATTACTATTTTAATCTCATGCACTACAAAAAATAAATATTGGTCAAAGATATGTAATCGTATATAAATAGTGCAAAAGTCAGAACATGTATTTTAAAACAAAGAGAGTAGTAGAGTTGTCAAGTTAGATGTGTAAATCAAGATTGACAATAGTCGTATATAATTTGACTTGTGGCATTATGTCAATATTATGTGTCCATGTTCAGTGATTTAGATTTAAGTTCGAGTCCTTTTAGCTCACTTCAAAACTAACTAATCGTGTTATTTTCGGATCGGGTAGATTTTGATAATAATCTAAATTACAACCACAAAGGGCCAGGATACATACTATAACATATCTTATCGTGGAAATCAAAAGCTTCAGAAGCCCGGAATTGAGTTGGGTATGGACCAGTGGTCCACATTATATAGTCCTATATACACCATATTGAATATGTAGTACAAGTATAAAATATGGTCCATACAATTATTATGAGACATTTGTACTGACATAAATACGTAGTATATATGATACAATTTTATTTTTTCTTCTCCATTTTTCAAGTTTTAATTGCTTTTTTTTTTTTTTTTTTTTTTTGGGTGGTGACTAGGTGAGCTTGTTTTTAACTATAATTTTATTTTGTTACTCCGTACTTTAATTGTTTTGGGTTCGAAGTACTCAAAAAGCGATTTCCGGATCGGATAGCTCAACCTCAGTGGTTTACAAAATATTTTGGGGTGTTAAATACCGCCATTTAAATTTATCGTTACCGCCATCATTTTAAGTAAACTGACAATCTTGCCCTTATTAACTTTTTTTTCTCATTTTCTTTCTCTAACATTAGTTCATCACTTCATCAATCGCAACCATGTTAACCACCACCTTCTACACCAGACAGCCACAATGAAGGCGAAAGTCGACGAGAAATGGATGGTGATCGAGGTGGCTCAACGGAAAACGAATCGGGGGTCAACCAGAGCTCCACGATAACCGATTTTGACCTCCGGTTACCATGGACGATAATCAGTTTTCATGGACGATAACCGGTTTTGGGCTCCAGTTACCATGGTCGACCGGAGGTCAAAACCGGTGACTGAAGTTCAAAACCGGTTGCCGTCCACGGTAACCGGTTTTCAGCTCCGGTTATGCACGGTTACCGAATGCCAAAACCGGTTACCGTGGACGGTAATCGGAGCCTAATTCAAAATTTGCTCAGTTTTCTTATAAAAAACAGAAAAAGTTCAAAAAAAGAAATTTAAAATATGGTGGCTGGTACCGGAGGTGAAACGGGTTGCCCACTACCGATAACCGGACGCCAGATTCGGTTGACCGTCGCTAGTAACCGAAGCTGAAAACCAGTTACCGGCTGCTGTCAACCAGTTTTCACCGCCGGTTACCGGTGCTGGTAACCGGTTTTCGCCTCTGGTTACCAGCCACTTATTGCATAAAAAAACGAAAATCAGGAAAAAAAAAAACATGCACACAAAGCGGAAACTACTTACCTCTTTTCCACCTATTTCGTCGTTGCCTGAGTCCGTGCCGGCTCCACCGCTTAAGGTCGCGCCGCCAATTGTTTCCCGGTAAACCCTAAATATGTGGTTGTGGAGGTTGTGTGGTAAAAAAGGTGGGTGGTTGGTGTTTGAGGAGAGAGAAAAAAAAGTAAGGGTGAAAAATGGGTTAAGGTCTAGTAAGGGTAAGATTGTCAGTTTGCTTGAAATGATGGCGGTATTTAGCATTTTATATAATTTTGTTGATTAAGCATATATTTACAAAAAAATTATTTTCTTCTAAAAGGAAATTTTTTTTTTCTAAAAGGAAAAAAAAAATTATTTTTGTTAAATGCATTAATCATTAATGTTCCAAAATAATTTTTAAGATGAAAAAGTATGATTCACCATACTTTTTTATTTTTTATTTTTATAAAGCATGATTCACTATACTAGTACATTTGATGATTTGAAGATGATGGTTTGTTAGAAATCGATTTACATAACTTCATTAATAGATATTTAGATATGATCATTATGATGGTTTGTTAAAAATCAAGTTCTCATTTACTACTCCGTCATCATCGTGAAGAATTCAAGACAAGAGCTACATGCCTATATACATAGACAAAGATATGTTAATTTAATAAACAAAAATTGAGTTTTCTTTCTTTTGGTAGGAAAGAGAAAAGGAAGTGTTTAGAGACAGATAAGATCATAAGATATGGATCCGTCCAAAAAAAAAATAATTCATAAGATATGGAGTATAATTAAATAGATATAAGGATTCATCTATTATGTTGTTTTCTCCGTTTATGAAAGTATATGACTCATTTACAATACACTTTTGTTTCTAGGTATACATGTGAATAGTTAAGTGGGTGTAAGGCAAAGTAATTTTTCAAACAATTTTTTGTTATTGTTTACTTTATTATATATATCACCCCATATTATAATTTATGAGAGCATTATATTCAATGAACTTAAAAGTTAATTTATTTGCCCACCTTTGACCCTCATCTGCTCAAAATGAGTTTTTTTTTTTACCTAGAACCTGTTTAATAGGTTACTACTTTTATTTATATATTTTTTTAATTTCTTATATCTCCTTCTTCCTACCTCTCACCTCCCAACTTCTTCAATGGCAGCACCACCACCGCCTCTCCATAACCACCATAACAGCCACCACTTGATCCCCACTAACCTCCACCACGAACTCCCAACCCTACCCCCTCCCACCAGACCACTTGGCCACTACTTGACCCCACACACCAAACACCACCTAACCCACCATTAGGGGTGGTTATTGGGCGGGTCGGTGCGGGTCGGTTGCGGATCAAGATGAATATTTAGCGGGTCAAGGTTGAGGTAAAAGTGAAATGGGCCATTAACTTCTACTTTCTGCTATCAGAGTTTCCGTGTGGTGACAAATCTGCTCAAAGTTTCCCTTTACTTGAAAATATTGATGATATGATGCATTTGTAAAATTGTCATCATTTATGTATTTAATCCTTGGAGTATTGGTACGAAATGACAATTATTTACTTAGGAGGGGAGTATAAACATACAAAGTATGTGGAATGACATTTCGTATTAGAAAGGAATGCTGATGAAGGTAATATTATCTAGAAAAAATACTCTTGTTTACAGTTAATGAAAAAAATAAACAATATATAAGGCTACAGAACCACAAACAATATAATGTTTAAGAACTATTGCAATATAATGTGACTACTCCAAGTTCCATGACCAGCAGCAAAGCAGGAACAAGCAGCTGGCAGCTTCAGCAACCTGGCAAAACAGAGACAGTAGCCTAGCAAGAAGTATCCAGCAGCATCCCAGAAGCAGAATTATCAACAACACTGCAAGATGACCAGCAAGCCAACCAAATAGTCCCACCAACAAGCACACATCCCTGGCAGCAGCATTAATTCAACAACACTGCCAAAGAATAAGAGTATATACAGGCTAATGTACAGAACCAGCAAATTATGAGCTCCTTTTGCTAGATTTAAAACAGAAATAAGGTTGTCTTTCCTTACTGTATTCTAGGCTAGAGAAATGAACAGGAGAATATTACCTAGTAGAAAGGATCTGCATCATCATCCTCTTCTTCTTCAATGATTTCATCTTCAAGTTCACTATCAACCTCTACTTGATTGCTTTCACGATGCCAATCTTGCATACATACTAAAGCTTGAATTGTTTTTTACTTTAATGAACTTCGCGATGCCGAAACAGTCTTTCCTCCAATACTAAAAGCAGACTTTGAAGCTACAGTACTCACAGGAATAGTCAACAAATCCCGTGCCATCTTAGATACCACAGGATACCTCATAGAACTTTGATGTCAAAACTCCAAAATATCTAATTGTGAATTGAGATCTAAAGCATCATCATCTAGGTACATCTCAAGTTGTGACTTTCCTACTTGAGACCTTGCACTAGTACCGACAAAATGGTCATAATCATCAAAGTATTTTCTAGCTCCGGAAGTACTAGGTGGAGAAGGAGCAACTACAATAGGTGAACTACTAGCATATTGCAACTTATGGTCCTCAAACATTGACTTCATAGTTCCCAACACCAAGTTAATTCGTCTTGAGGCCTCTACACATCCATATAACTTATTAAAACAATATTCCACAAATTTCACTTTGTACCTCGGATCAAGAATGGCGGCACATGACAAGTACAAATTGTAATCCGACCAATATTTGTCAAATTTTTCAAGCATTGGTTTCACCATTTCCTTTAAATAATCATAAGAACCTTTCTCCGCCTCAAGCAAATGGTGATGCACCATCCATGCACCTTTAAAATACACATTAGAAGTAGGATAATTCACCGTCGAAAACATACAAGCTAAGTAACCTCATAAAACAACTCCAAAAAATTGTGAATCACACTTACCTTTTCCCACTCATCAACAAAGTGAGAAGTGACACAAATGAAATGATGTCTAGTATGATTTGATTTCCAATTATCGGTTGTTAAACAAATTCTACCCGAAACATTAGACAACATCCCTCTCCAATACATAAGCCTTCAATAAATCTCTCTTTGTGGTTGCATGGCCAAATGGTTTAAACTTAGGGGTAGCTCTTTTCATCATTCTCCTAAATCCTTGTTCTTCAACCATAGTGAATGAATGACCTCCCTCAATAATGAAATTAAGAATCTCTTTTTGAAGTTCATTCATGTCAAAAACAAAATTTTCTTCATCACTATCTTCCTAAAATGTAAGTCCTAGAGGCCTATTTGTACACCTCTCTAAATGACGCTTCAAATGAGATGTACCACTATTACGATGTACAGATAAAATAGAATTACAATGTACACGTACATGTAGCAATTCTCTAACCTTGAACATTCTTCCCTTCAATAAGCTCTCTCCAAACTTTAGATCTCTTTTTTCTCTTTCGTTGCAGAGTGATGTATTCATTATATCCATCATCACGTGCCATAGAAGTAGTAGTAGTAGTAGTAGTATCATCATCCATATTAAGGAACACACTGCACAATTGCAAGCAAGCTTAGAAAGATTACCAACAGTTAATGGGAGTTATTGGACCAAATGCATCCATAGACTAAAGCTTCGCTGATAGAAACAGAATAAGCTATGAAACTAAGCACTGAAAACATAGAGATGCCTCTACTCCCTTGTGAGAAATGAGAGCTACGACAGAGGGGCAGATAATGAAACGTAAACAATTTAAACAAAAATACAATTGTATATACCTTCATATCTATTCTACTGTCAAAATTTACATCAATACCTTCCCAAAGAACTGATTAACCACAGTGTAGTATTGCAAGGATTGACATTTGATATCATATACTGTAACGTATACAAAATTCACAAGCATAAATGATCACAACTTTGCAGAAGAGAAGAAAAGCATAATTCGGCATTGAAAACAACAAAATTGTAAATGTCATACATACATCCTATACCAACAATTTTGCAAAAAGAAACAGGTTATTTAACTCATCTTCATAATCACCAAAACAATAATTACAAAAAGTTAAATTGAATTCAACCAACATTTGGGGGTTCTCAAAAACTTACTAACCGATTCATCAAAAGAAATGATAGAATACTCCGGTGAAGGAACCACCTTCTTACATGCCAACTGCCACAACCAACTCCATAACTTTGATGCTAAAAGCTCAGTTGCACTTCCTTAATCCACATCACAATACATCATGATTCACAATGACACAAAATACAAACCTAATCGAATGGCAAATTATCGAATACTCTGCCTCAGGAACATGATTTAAAGGACTGAAATGTGTACTTCAATTATACAGAAATAATTCCTCTTAATCAATCTTATTAAAAGTATCACAATTTGAGCCAAAAATGCGCAACAAAAAAGCTAATGCCGACGATCAAACATTAACAAAACGAAAACATGAATCAAAATTGAGGAACAGATTAAGAGAGAGAAAATGATGATATCTGAAAAGCTGAGAAGCAACTTCAATGGAGAACTCTGAGTGCGCTTCAATGGAGGAGAGAGAAAGGTTTCTGTAAATTGTTATTGGGGTTAAGTCAGAGAAGGGGTGAGTGGGGCTGACCCTTAACCAATTATTGGACTTTTTATTTTAATTCTTAAATTATTGGGCTCTAACTGGAAACCCTATAAAAGCCCTATAAAATAAGACCTTATAAAAGCCTTGTCCACTAAAAAATTAAAGGGTCAAAACCCTTTAGTATTAGGCCCGACCCTTTTGCCATTGAGTAGCCATACACAATAACCAGGCCTACCCACCATATAACCCCCCCGACTAAATCACACGCCTGTGCTGTCCAACCCCAGCTGACCTCGCAACCCAACTCCGGCGACCCATATAAACTCCACCCCTTAACCGGAAACTCACCCCCACCACTAGCTCGACACCACATCCCAAAAACCTCTTTCATTTAGCAACCACCTACACCGAAAACCCACACCACCTCTCAGGTCTTAACTCCACCATCCTGCCACTCCACCGATAAACATTAACCACCTATCAACTTCACCAATTCACCTCCGTACGCTAATCTTCTTCCCCTCTCAAATCCGATTTCTCGCGCAATTGTCAGTCGAAACCTTACAAAACTGGAGCAATAGTCGATTGAGGGCTGCTATACACTAGGGGATAGGGGCTGCAATTTAGTGGGTGGGGCTCTAGCACCGGCAGGAAGAGGGGAGCTAGTTAAGGTGGGGGATTAGGAGAAGAAGGAAGATGAAAGGGGCTAGAAGTGAAATTAATAATCAGGTGCGATGGTGGTTTTGTAGGTTGTCGTGGCTCCGGCAAGGGGAGGGATAAACTCCGGTTGGGGGAGGCCAGGTGAGTCAGTTCGGCAAGGGAAGGGATCGAGGAAGTGGGAAAGGGTTATTAATTTATTTTTTTAATTATCCTTTTTTTAAATAAATTATTAAAAAAAACAAAAACCAATAAGAAGGTGACACGTGTCAAGTCACCTTCTTAAACAGGTTACTAATGGGGGTTAAAGGTGGGATTGTTTCTAGATTTCAAAGAGGTGGGATTGTTTTGAGCAGAAAAGCCAAAGGTGGGATTATTAGTTTCCATTTTCCCATTATTTTTTAATTAATTTTGGCATTAACAACGTATTGATTCATTTTGTATGTTCACACTATATATATACCTTTTGTTCGTAACTAAATAGGTTCAAAATTATATTCATAAACCTTGATCGAATTATGAAAGGCGTACTTATATATAGTATATAGGTTCAACTTGAACATACCGGTATTGATTTGACTAAACTTTACCCAAAACCAAGAATGCTTAAAAATTATCCGACCCGATAATTATCCAACTCAAATCGAAATCGAACCTGAACTACCAACCATAAATCATCCACAAACTAACCTAACTTGCTGTAACCTAAACCTTAAATAGATCTGACTCGAATTTGATTTGAATTGAACCCAACCTACACGCGAACGAAAGGGAATGACTCGATAACTTGAACCAATTTTAACTTGACCAAACCCGAACCTAAATTCAGTATGAAGGCTAAATTTACTCAACATGACCTGAGTTTGATCTAAGACTTAATTTGACCCAACCTTTGGTACATTTCAACCTTATAAATGGGATAATATTGGCACTTTGGTGGGTGAAGATTGCTTACCTTTCCACCCACTTTCATACAACCTAGCCCACAAACCAAGTTAACTCGTGCAAAAATCGATCTAATTCAAAAGAACAAATAATTTTCTCCCTAAAAAAAGTCTTTCGTAATACCTTTAATTCTTTAAACACATTAGTGGTTTCACAAAATTTAGGTCAATTATAAATAGACCTTGCAAACGGGTTGTTCAGGTCGGGTCAGGTCAATTCGGGTTTCGAGTCAAATTCAGGTCAGCACTTTGGGTTAAATTCAGGTCAGGTCAAGTTCGGATCGGGTCAGTTCGAATTGAGTCAATTTTTGGGACCAATTTTCGGGTCAATTTTCATTCGACTCATTCAATAATAAACCGTTAAACACAATTTTCACATGCATTTAAAGATTTAATTTTGGCGGGAGATATTTGAAGGATAGACAAAGAAAATAAGTTTCACATGCTTTAAAAACGCAAATTCTTAACATTGATCTGTCTTCTCGACCGTCGATATGCAATCATCCAATCTTAACCATTCCAATGTGGCCAAGTACATCATTCTAGCGTACACCTGCCCACATCAGATCTTTTTCTCTTCCCTCTTTTTTCCTCTAAACTAAAACCCTAATTTCCGACAAATTTGAAGAAATTTTTGCAGATTCAATTCCTAAGAATCTGTGAGAGAATTAGCTTCGATGGATTCTGGGGATGACAGTGATGTTCCAATTGAGCCCAAAAAGGGGAAATCTAAGACTCCTAGAAAAACTAAAGAAAGCGTTCTCAAGCAAAGTAAGTTCAATTGTTTGATTTTTTTAATTAAACTTGGATTAAATTAGGATTTTGATTGATGAATTAAAGATATTATTTTTGTGGGTTCGCAGAATCACCAGCGGAATTCTTTGCGGAGAACAAGAATATTGCTGGATTTGACAATGTAAGTTCCGAGCTCAATTTCTTTAAGCATATAGTGATTTTATCCCCAATTTTTGTGATTTTTAATGAATTTTTGACCTAAGACCCTTTTTAGATATCATTATGATCTTGCCTGAACTACATGAATGTGATTTACTTGATGATTTATTTATATAAAATTTGGGTTATTGTACATTGGAGCTTGTTATAAACTTATAATAGTCAGCTGTGAATTAGGGATAACACTATTTTTATTTTATTTTATTTTTTTTTTCTGAGGAGAACGTGTTGGATTATAGTTATAGGTCCGGTATCTCTCGGATGGTGTTGAAGTTACGCCTTGCTCCACCGTGCTTTCACTGTGATTTTTTTAACTGATAACGAGTCCCGACTGAATGTTTATGGTATTGCCAGAATGAGATATGAATGGAAGTTGAGGTGTGTTGAAAGGTTGTAATGAAAAATAATGTATGTGATAATATTGCTTTACTTCATGTTGTATTATTCGTCTATTGCAGCCTGGGAAGTCCCTATACACTACTGTGAGAGAGTTGGTTGAAAATGCTCTTGATTCTTCAGAGTCTATATCAGAGCTTCCTGTTGTGGAAGTTACAATGTAAGTGGTTTTAGCTAATGAACTATGACACGAATGTATGGATTGCATCTTCTAATCATGTTGACTAGTTTGATGTTTGATTATCTGGTTTTTATTCAGCATCTAATTTCATGTTTTTACTGTTTTTTGTTATTGAAGTGAAGAGATAGGGAAGAGTAAGTTCAATTCTATGATTGGTCTCATTGATCGGGAGCGAGTTGATCAGGAATTATATGATGATTATGAGACAGCTAAAGCTCGTGAGGTACGTGTGCTTTTAGTGTTCCATCAAATGCAATTAGTTATCTAATGCGTATTTTTGACGGTTTAAATTTAATGGAAGGATTTAAGTGATTTTAATTTGTGGAAATTTGAAAGATTGTCTTAGAAGGCAACGACTTCTAAGTTTGATCTTAGGAGCAACGATCCCAAAACCCTATAGTTAACAACTAGTTTGAACCTTAACAAAGTTCTCTTCAAGCAAAAGCTCAATAATCTCAACTTTTAATTCATAAACGCCCTCCTCAAATAATTGACATACAACTAGTATATATATAGGAAAAACAAATCTATCCTACTTGCCCTGCAAGCAAACTAAATAAAAAGCCCTAATAATTAATTAATGAACCAAGAGAGCCCACTAATTAATTAACACAACTTTAGAAACCCAAGGCCCCATAACTACTACGAAGAAAATAATAAAAACATTATTAAAAACTCACTTGTAAAACCCTTACTTTAAGAGTAAGGTAAAACCAAGAGAGTATCTAAATAAAGCAATAAAAATAGTTATAAGAGAGGGGACTCGATTCACATCATTATCCAAGCATGGTTATTCCCGTAGTGGTTTTGGTCATGGTTTATTCTTGAGTTTTAAATTTACAAATTGATTTGTTCATATGGTTTTTATTCTTGAATTTCTATTTTACAAATTTTAGGTCTCTATGCCAGTAGCCCAGTATGGTTAGTGACTGATATCACGAGTTTAGCTAGGTTTTAAACGAGGAATATGTGGATCAGGATATTTAATTTTGATCTGACCTCTTAGTATTTGTTGCTCACATAGAAACGCCTGGCAAAGGAAGCCCGTGATCTGGAAATCCATGCAAAAAATGCAGCTTTGGGGAAGAAAGTTAAAGAGACTGCTGCAAAAGCTAGCAAAGGCCGCGGTGAAGCCTCTTTTTTCAGGGTGATATGTAAGGTGCTTTATATCTCAACCTTTTGTCTATTTGGTCTTATTTTTACTGAAAGCTCTTGCAGATTTTCTGATAATTTTCAGAATTCTCCTCCGCTTTTATGTTGATAGTGTTTTCCACCTAATGCAGGACAATGGAAAAGGAATGCCGCATGATGACATACCTAATATGTTTGGGAGAGGTGATAATATTAATATGCTTGGAGTCTACTTATCTCCCTGCTTTTTCTTTGTTGTTAATTTTATTTTTCCCTTACATGCAGTTTTATCTGGAACGAAATATGGACTGAAGCAAACACGTGGGAAATTCGGATTAGGGGCTAAGATGGTATGTGTTGTCTTCAGCTAAAAATTGAGCAGCTCTTTTGTTGTATGATTTTTGTTGCACTAGATAGTAGCATTTGTACCTTTTCTTTGATGTCAAGCTTATGTTCCAAGCTGTGTGATTTTTTATGCTATAGATTGAGTGTTATCAGGCTTATGTAACTCATATCAAACTTATGTAGGCTTTGATTTGGTCCAAGATGAGCACTGGACTACCTATAGAGATATCATCAGCAATGAAAGGCCATAATTATGTATCATTCTGCAGGCTGGATATTGACATTCATCGGTATGATAGAAATTACTGAATATCTGGGGTTTATGTTTGTATCTCCAATGCTATATTGTTTATACTTTACATAATGGGACCAGTATGCTAATGGTTTGCTTCTAGGAATATTCCACACATTCATATACATGAAAAACGTGAAAATAAGGACCGTTGGCATGGAGCTGAAATTCAAGTTGTCATTGAGGGAAATTGGACTACCTACCGGGTATTTAGTAGTGTCATTTGGTCTTTATCCAGGCACAGTTTGTTTTTGCTTTGTCAGCTTATTCTTTAGTTACTATAACTTGAAACTTATTATTTTTTCTAATTATTGGTAATGCTTTGCTCATGCAGTCTAAGATATTGCATTACATGCGTCAGATGGCTGTCATCACCCCTTATGCTCAATTTGTCTTCAAATATATCTCAGAAACACCCGAGTATGTTGTCCCCCTTTTGTCCTTGTTTTCTGCATCTTTCACTTGCCGCATTTTGGCTGTCTCCATGCAACAACAAAACTTAAACTCTTCCCCGGACTGATTAACTCTCATTGAGTATGTTGTTGCCTTCTAGGTATTGGCTAATTATTTATCTATTTTATTTATGCAGTAAAAATGTGACCATAGGATTTGCACGAAGAACTGATGTAATGCCTCCTATACCCATGGAAACAAAGTATCATCCATCTGCTGTTGATCTATTACTCATTAAGCGGCTTATTGGTGAAACTTCAAAGCAGAATTTGCTACAGTTTCTTCAACATGATTTCGTGAATATAGGAAAACCTCATGCTCAGCGTCTGATTGGTAAAAAAATATTTTTGAAACACATTATAAATTTATAATGTACTACGTACCTGGTAATAAGTAAAAAAGAAATTTACTTTTTAAAAAATTAGAGTTTTGAGATGCCCCAAAGTGAATTTGAAGGTTGTGTTGCACTTGTGATTCCCCTATCACTGGTTGGCCTATGAAAATCTTGTCATTGTTTACTTCTTAACTATTTCTAGCACAGGGCAGAACAGTTGTCAAGGAGGCTTAATTCTGTCTGACATACAGAAACATAGTGCTTATTTGGCTGCAATGGGAAATCATTTCTCTTGGTAATTCCTAGGAAATTGGTTAATCTTGTTTTGGTTGCAATGGGAAATAATTTCTCATGGTGATTTATATTTCAGGGGATTTAACTTTCCTTGTGTAATTCCTAGGAAATTGGTTAAACTTGTTTGGTTGCAATGGGAAATAATTTTCTTGTGGTAATTTACATTTCAAGGGATTTAACTTTCTTTGTTTAATTCCTAGGAAATTGGTTAAACTTGTTTGGTTGTCATATGAGAATTTAAATTTCGTGACAATTGTGAATGACAGGAGGTTGGGGAGGGAGTGGGGTTAAGTAAAATAACTTTCCAAGTTCCCATGCTATGGGGGAATTTCCAATTCCGAAGGAAGTTGCAATCCTCCATTTTGGAAAATTTATGTCAACCACATAAGATGTGATTCAACCATTTCCTTGGAATTTTCATTCACTTTGTGAATTAAGTGCAATCAAAATCAAACAAGCACAAGATTTATGATTCCATCTTGTGAAACTACCATTTGGTAGCATCTCTGTATGGACAAGGGCCAAAATCTTGTCTTGCTATCATATTGTTATTGCTCAGTACTTGTTAGAGATGGTTCAATTGCATAGAAATTGATAATTATCTTTGTTTCAAATATATGCTAACTGGCTAATACAAGTTTTTAATTATAGACACTCAGATGGATCTATTATGATGATGCTTTGTCAACTTTCAGGTGAAATGGGCCCAGAATTTAGCCCTAAAATGGCTGTAAAATCACTCACCTCACAGCAGCTCGTTCGCATACATCAGTTGTTTCGTCAGGCTAAATTTGGTGATCCTAGTGGAGATGTAAGCCACTTGCTGCTTATATCATTGGTGAATTTGCATTGAAATTTTTGCCTCTGTCTCTTACAGCATTTTAATGGCTTGTGAACTTCTTGCAGTGCCTCAGCCCTGCAGGAGAGTACAATCTTCGGTTAGGTATCATTAAAGAGTTGCATCCTGATATGGTTGCTACTTACTCTGGCAGGTTTGTATCTACTTTTGAGAACTATTTAATTTTTCTCTTTTCTTGACATCATGCTGAAATAATGTATATATGGACAAACTATTCTCAATTATTATATTGCTACAATATTCTAATCAACTTTTGCTGTGAAATTATATTACTGCTGTATGTCTTTCTATGCAGTGCTCAAGTATTTGAAGGCCACCCTTTTCTTGTAGAAGCTGGAGTCAGTGTTGGTGGCAAAGATGTTAAACAAGTAAGTAGTTGCATCAGCTTTGTTAATTTTGGCCATTGATGTAGAATAGTGATGCCAATAATTGAGGTATGTAAAGTTGGGATTTTAGTCCCTCAAGGACAGAAAAGGCAGGAATTTAGTGAAAGGCATTGCTTTGAGGTTGTTTTTCTTTTGATAGATTTACAAGGCGGATTATAATGTGTTTTGTCGTCATAAAATTGTTTGGTTATTATAACGACTCAGTATGGGCTTGTTCTAAAAAATTCCTAGGCCTTGTAGGCTTGTAGCATCAGTGATCAGTCATTAGATGCCTATATTTGCAATTGCATACGAAGTATTATTTAGAGTTGTCATGCTGCTTGGCAATTGTTTGAAAATATTCAAAGTTATCAATGTGTGAATGATGGTTCCTTTTCACCTATAGTCCTATGTTTGGCTATATGTCTAATTTCTGTTTTACTATAGGGTTTAAACATCTTCCGGTTTGCCAACCGAATTCCACTTCTCTTCGAGCAAGGTGCTGATGTTGTTACGAGGACGGCTATAAAGAGGATCAAGTAAATGCTTTTTATTTAAGCCCTTGTCCTTGCTATTCTGAGGCAGTGCCTTAAATTATATTGATGAAAGCATCTCATTGGGAGCTTATTTGTCAGTTGGGGCAGTTACAAAATTAACCAGAATCAGGACAAGGTCGGAGTCTTTGTCAGCATTGTTAGCACAAAAATCCCATTTAAAGGGACTGGAAAGGAATACATTGGTGATGACATCAGTGAGATAGCTGCGGCAGTCAAGGTGAGTCTTTTCTCAGTTTTAAATTTTACTTATGAAGTTTGGATTTGGTCAAACACTGGTTCTCATTCTATGGTATGTTTACAGTATGCTATTCAGCAATGTTGTATCCAGTTGAAGTCCAAGATAGTGAAGAGAATTCAGGCCAGGGAACAACAGGAAAGAAAGAGAAATATGAGCAAGTAAATATAAGCCCTGGTTCTCTTTCTTAAGTATTTTTATTTATTTGTTTTTTTTATGCTCACCCTTCCTGGTTCTTGCAAATGTTAGATACATTCCAGATGCTGCAAATGCCATCTATGATGTGCTTAAAGAGGCGGCACAATTGCATACATCAAAAAAGAGAAAGTATGAAGGCGAGGATGCAGAAATACTGAGAAAGGTGTCAACTCGTGCTTTAACAACAGAGACACTTAAAGAGAAACTCGCTAGACATGTTGAGCAGGTAAGATCAGCAGCTTGCCTCTACTGTGGCAAAATATATCTGCTTTCTGCCAGGATCTTCTTTGATTTCATAGCCATATTTCTGAATGTACATCAGATTTTGTATATTCTTGAGTCCTGGTACCAATATCTGTGCTGTTGAGTCATTAGTTCATGTGATGCTCTGCCATCTTTGCATCCATATTCTCATCTTACCTTTATCTTTAAGCACTGAACATATTCTTGTACGCATCCAACAAATTGAAACATACTCCCTCCACCTGTAAAAAGTCCACACTGACTGAATCCTTCATGATACAGCGTGATTTTACAGAAAGACCGTTTAGAATAGTTAAGCCATTTCTTTCCTCTTTACCACTTATTCCAAGAAGTAGCATATTGGAATTATAATTTTAAGATGTAAGGAAAGATGGTACTTGATACAAGTATGTGGCTATTAATAACAGCCGAAGGGAGTATATCTTACTTGCTCTAGGAACAGCCACAGTGGCTGCTATCATGCTATCATTTTATTGTCAACCTTCTCTTTTCCATTTAATGTGACTTTTCTTTATAATTGTTGTTCTTGCAGGTCGATTATGAAATGGCTCTTGAATATGCTACACAGGCTGGAGTTAGCGATGAACCTAGAGAAGCTTTTCATGTACAGTCACTAGAATCGGAAAACAACTTCATTGACCTGCACAGTCCTGTTTTTGTTTTCAGACTTTTCCAGTAGAATCAGGTATAAGTTCATACTGTATTTTTTTATTTAATAAATTATATTTACACTCAGGGTGTTGTAATTTTTTTTTCCTTTTTCTTTCTATAATTCTATTATTTTCGGTTGAAAATATACTAATAAAATTTTATGTTAAAGAGTGTAACTGACTTATATGCGAACTAACTGTAATCTTTTATAGTCTTTAGGATTGTATATGTGTTCTGTTGTTTTTTTCTTTCCCCTTCCAATATGTAAATGGAAGATTTGAGACTGGATGTAAAAGTTGAACAATATTATAGATAGAAGCATAGATCAATTTCAATGTTTTTCTTTGTGCATATTTCTCCAAGGACTTGATGATCAAGTGAGTTGGTGTGCCAATCACCTTTTCCCCGGTACTGAAGAGTGATTGTCAATCTGTTATGATATCATCCTCTCCCTGTGGTAAACCAGATAGAAGGAATGCTTTTCCTCAGACTTGTGGGCTATTGTCAATGTTGAAAACTGTATACTTGACATATTGTATAGTGTATAATTGACATGGCTCTTACTTTTTTTTAATTATTTTTTTTTATTTTTTAATGTGAACCTGACTTGAAATTGCAATGCTAAGGAGATGGTAGGAAACAGTTATAGTATTATCTTCCTATGTCCATGTATTATATTCTTTCAACATGTTGATATATAATGGTTTATGTACATCCTTTTGGTGGAGATGCATTATGTTCTTCCCCATTGTCGGTATTGAAACTGTTGCAGTGCCGTGCCTTCAACCTTAGACTGGGATCGTCTTTTTTAACCTCATCTCAACCTTTGCTTGATTCAGCCACATGTACTCATCATCCACTGACTTGTCTTTGCTTTATATGGCTCAAGCTTGTCTGATGACCCACCCAGAGGACCGTTCCATTGATCTCTTATTTTGGGTTGAACCTCAATTATACAGTATGTAATGTATGTTTTGGATTTGAAGTATCCATGCATACAAGATCCTTTTCATCGTAGGAGCTACCTGATGCAAATTTGTCACAGTTTTCCAAATGTAGTATTAGTATCTACGCAAGTAAAAAGTGACGTTTTCTAAAATATCCTCAAATTCCTTACTAAGTTTGGAATGTTGACGGAATTTTGATACAAGAAATTCATTTTTTTACAAGTGAATGTGTAAAGTTTAGATGACATATTGATAATATCTTTTAATGGTTATGTTAGAAATAACTTGAATTCAAATTATGTTTTATATTTCGGACTTACTGTTACATTTTGCATTTTACAGTAATAAGTAAAGAACTTTAGCATTAATTTCGTGATACATCTACTTCTACTTATGTATTTGTTGATTAAATATTATCAATTTGAAAAGGGAAAAGACAGTCTCAAGCTTAGAAATTGTTGCCTAATCTCTGAGAGTGGACTTAAGAGTTCACTTTAAAAAAGAAAAAAAATAAAACAATCTAGCTTGCATCACTAGTAATAGTAGTAAAGGTCGCTCAACTAGTCACGTATACAAAACTAATCTTCGTAGTCTGGTACTAGAATTTGTTACCACGAATTCGTAAAAATCATTTACAAGACTGGTTGTGGCCTCATGGGATAATTCTAACAAGATTAACATACCAAAAAAAAATGGGATATCAATATTAACCAGAAAATAAACTGTAAAATCCAAACGTCCAAAGACTCCAAACAATCAATTTCGTTGTAAAATCCACTGAAAAAAAAAAAAAAAATTTTTTTTTACTACTCCGTATTTTAACTTGGCGGGGCTTGGGAGTATTGCTCTATTGCAGTGTTCACTGTTCAGGTGAGTTTTCGATTTCACATTTCCAAACCCAGATAATTCAGAATCCCAAAAAAAAAAAAAAAAAAAAAAAGAGATTTTATTTTACGCTGAAATCCCAATAAAAATTTAATCTTTATAACAAATGGGGTATTATTTTAATTTCAGAACATTCAAAATCAATGGCAAAACAAACCCAGATCGCCATAATTGGAGCAGGAACATTTGTGAAGAATCAATACATCCCCAGATTATCTGAAATATCTGATCTTGTTTCTGTCAAATACATTTGGAGTCGTTCTCAGGTAGACATTACTCTTTTACTTATAAATCATTGATAAACCCTTTATTTTACAATTTGCTGTTATTGAAGATTTTAATTTTGTGGATTTTATGTTAAAATACAATTGGTAATGTGTATAGGAATCAGCTAGATCTGCAGTGGAAATAGCTAGTAAGAATTTTCCAGAAGTAGAATGTAAGTGGGGTGATGATGGTCTTGATGATATTATTAAGGATTCCTCAGTTGTTGGAGTTGCTGTTGTTCTTGCTGGCCAAATTCAGGTCTTATTTTCTCTCTCTCTCTTTTTTGGTGAAATCTTATTCTATGTTGTTATATTGCCTTGATGATGAATTAATTCAGTGTATAGAAGCAGATCATATGCTATCTAAGTTTAGTCATAAATTTTCTGTTAAGAAGAATTAAGCTTTGTGTATTCTGGGCTTCCGGCTGTGTTTAAGCAATGACATCAATGGATTAAACAATATGAATGTGACAATGTTCACCTAAAATGTCGGTTTGTAACTTCCATTGCATAATGTACTGTATAATTGAGATAATTAACTTCATAGCTTTATGTATTTTCTTGTGTGAGGACAAATTTGATTCTTTGGAGAAAGAGGGGGAGGTTGTTTAGGACTAAGAAGTGTAACAGATACAAACAATATGAAAGTGATAAATTTTTGACGAATTGGTTTGGATTCTTTGGGGTTAAAGGACTCAGGAAAGACATTGGTTGGTCTTACGCTACTGGTGGGCTGGTTATCCTGCCTGACTTCTGGTGTATTAGTTGAATGTATAATTTGAGGTACTTAATTCAATTCATCTCAAGAGGCTATTGACTTAATAAACTTATTTGCTTGTTAATGTGCATTGCTTAGGTAGATATGGCGCTGAGACTGCTCAAGGCAGGGAAGCATGTGATTCAAGGTAATCCCCCCGCTCCAACAATAGCCATCAATGCTTGTAATTGGTATTTTTATTAAAGAAAAAGGTTTCAGTTCAATAAAATAGAAATGGACCAGATCATCTAGAGTTACCTAAGAAAAAATGATTTATTTTCAATACCTGATGAACTTTGTTATTTTGATGAATAATGAATAATCACATTATTGTTATAGCATAGAGTTGCTTCGCTTGAATTTCTTTTGGTTGTTTTCTCATTTCTGATGGGTGATGTTTTGTGTATTTTTATGTCAAAATCTTGGGTGTTGGATGGTTCCTTGGGTCAACAGAAAAGCCAGCTGCTGCAAGTGAGTAAAATTCTTGTCATCACATCCATTTTGCTCATTTATCTTCTCTACCTCATAACCAGATATCTTAAATCTGCATTATTATATGTAGTTGTATTTTGCTAAAGCATACGAAGTGTATAGATTATTGTAGTGATAACAGCAATTATAACACCCTGTGAAAATTTCAACGGCTGATAAGATGTGCACATCTCGTTAGTTACTCTTTTATTGACATTTATATAATCAACCTGGTATCCATGAGGTTGATGATGTGGCACTAGGTCTATTCTTAGATTAATGTCTGTTAGATTTTGGCCCTTACAAATTTTTTAAATACATCTGATTGTGCAGATAATGAGGAGGCAGAAATGGCACTGTCAAGCTACAATCTAATATCTCCTGGAAGTCCTAGTAAACCAATCTGGGCTGTAGCAGAAAATTACAGATTTGAACCTGGTTTCATCGAGGTACATGGTATTCTGCTATGCCCTGTGCCTGTACTATATTTGCCTTTTTGGAAGTTTCTCCTCGGTTAAAATGCCTATTGGATGAACAGGGCAGGAAGCTAGTCGAAGAAATAGGAAATATGATGAGTGTCCAAGTTATCGTGGAAGGATCAATGAACAGTTCTAACCCATATTTTTCAAGTTCTTGGAGGAGGAACTTTACTGTAAGTGTTTCAATTTCCATGGCTACTATATATACATTATTGTATGTAAATCCTTGCAAATGAAGCTTTGGTGGATAAATGAAATTATGCTATTACTTGTAAGGCTTGTATCTGTAGGCATATATGCCTCTTTAGCAAGTTTAATTTAACAATTCATTGATTAATGCATGACTTGAATAACTATAACTGATGTGATGTCAGAGTCCCAAAGTTGTTCCTTAGAGCCTCGGTTAAAGAGATGTATAGTATTCTTGTTTTGAAGGGTTTAACACTTCAACTTGTTTAGATCCGTAAACACAGACTGTAACGACTCTTCCTCTATGGATCATTATATAATCACATACTATGTACTACCTCCGTTTATTATTATTTGCAACAATTGTACCTTTCACGGAGGCCAAGGCAAAAGTTTTTAAGCATGTTTATTAAAATATAAGGGCATGTGCTTAAACACTAATCCAATTAAAAAAAAAACAAAAATTTATCAGAACCACTAAAACCTAGAATCACAACCACCACCGAACCCACCGTAAACCACCACCACCACCACCGAGCCCACCGTAAACCACCACCACCGAACCCACCGTAAACCACCACGAATCAGATCTGAACCCCTACAACCACCCCACGAACCAGACAAACATACAAACCCAAACCCATGAACAAGACAAACCCAAACCAGACCCACCCAGCCACCACCATCAACCAGACCCACGCCACCCCCACGAAACCAGACCCACCCAGCCACCACCACGAAACCAGCCACGCCACCCCCACGAAACTCACGCCACCCCTAAAACCAGATCTGAAACCCCTAACACCCCCACGAACCAGAAGATTTGTTGATCTTGATGAGATCGTCGAGGGACATGTCCAATCATTTTCCGTTGCCATTGAAAGATGTGGTGAAGAAGAAGAAGAAGAAGAAAATGTAGAGGATAGAGAAAATTGAAGGAGGAAGAAAATTGGGGAAAACCAGAGAGAGAAAGTAGGAAGATGAATGATTTTTGGTGAAAATAATTACAATAATCAGATTTATTAGGTAAAAAGTTAAATTAGGTTAGTGATCTAATTAGATGTCTAAGCTGTTTAAGTAAGGGTAATATGGGCATTTTGTTGGCAAAAAGTTACTAAAAAAGGAAATAAAAAAGTTTGTTGCAAATGATAGGAAGCGCCTAATTTTACTAAATGTTGCAAATAATAATAAACGGAGGTAGTATTATTTCTCATGGACGACGGGTGAGTCATGCCTTTTTTTTTTCTTTATTTATGCAATTGCTCTTATCCATTCGAAAGGGAAATTGGGTAACTCTTGGACTACCTATATACCAAAATTGTCATAATTGAACTCAACTTATCAACGGGACTTTATAGACCTATTGGTAGGCCTGTTATGGTTCCAAACCAACATTTATGACCCTGGGGACACACCCCACATTCACTTCAATTGGTCAAAAAACGTGGATTATAGACTTCAATTTTGGACAAATTTCGACTTTTTTGGACCCGAAAAGAAAAGAGGATGAGGGGCTTTCTATGGACTCCACGAGACCTTAGGAGACCATTTGGGTGGTTGGAACTATCCACTTTGCCTTTAAACTATCATTTTAATATGAACTCTCCCTTTATTAACTCAAGGCTATTAACCCTTTATGTGATCAACTAGTGTCCATATCTAATATGAACAACATTATATGACTCCAAGAAACTTCCCCTTCTATCACTTGAGTTTTTGACATTGAGTCCCAAAATCTCCGAAAATGCTCCTATAGAGGACAATTTTGTTTCTGGCAAGGTTAGTATGCTAACGAACTTAAACTGCCTAAATTTATGCCAAATTTCTGAATTTTAACTGCATAAGCATTGACTGAATACCAATATATGTCGCACGTTATAGTCTTATAGATTATGGTGTTTTGTTGTCGCAGGGAGGTTTCATTCTGGATATGGGGGTACATATGATTGCAGGACTAAGGATGGTAAGTGTCTAATGTGTTGACTCTTGTACTTCTTGGTTATTGTATTAAGTACTCTTGATCTGTATTGCTTTCTTGACTTTGCCTTTAAAAAGTCAAGACATAAACATTGAGGTATCTGTTCCTGTATCCATTCTTTGACATTTTTTTCTTTGTTTGAGCAGCTTGTTGGCTGTGAGGTGAAGTCAGTTTCGGCTTTGACTGCTCATGTTGATACTACTCTGCCCCCACCAGATAATATTTCTAGTTCATAGTATGCAAGACCGTTCTATTACCTTCCCTTTTTTTTTTATTTGTGGGGGGGGGGGCATATCATGGAAGCCATAATGTAAACTTTTTCCCATTTTTTTCCGTTTGCAGTCAAATGAAGAATGGTTGCCCTGGCATTTTTGTGATGGCAGTATCTACTAGATCACCGAAGGCATGTGGTTATATAATATAATGCTCAAGTTATTTCTGAGCACAATATTCCTCTATTCTTAAGGGACTGATATTTCACTGCAGATATACTGGCGAGTAGTTGGTGTAAATGGAACTGTGCAAGTTGAGCGTGGCAACGTTGATGGGCGTCATGGTTACTTGGTACGCTAAAATTCAAAATACATAAACTCTGGCTCTGATATTAATATGACCTTACTAGGATTTTTCAGATTAGCTTATACTTCCATTGCCATTTCAGGTGTCTAAATTTGATGTTAATGGGAAATGCACAAGCTCATTTCATCCATTCAGTGGAGTAACTGAAGAACTTAAAACATTCTTACACGATATATCAGAGGTGAGTCCAAATTTATGCTGCTAAAATTTATTTGCATTGAATGATTCATTTTTGTGCCATGTACATATTAGCAAACATGAAGCACAATTATTTGATATGTAGTGTTGATGCTAACATGACTCCACTTTTTAGATGTTAAAACTCGGGAATTAGATATTATAGTGGTAGCTGGGAGAGAAGAAATGGCTATCAAACCATGTAATTATTGCACACCTTCTGTTAAATGCTTCTAAAACGCTATCACTTATGAGGCTATGACATATAGTAAAGGAATACGGTATCATAAGGGCTATGCAGCTTCCTAGTTGCAAGTTGTTTATAAGTGGGGCATTTTCTTTTCTTTTTCTCAAGGGAGCAGAGTAGACGATACATGGAATTTGTTGCCCTTCCTCTCCATGTTATTCCTCACACCTGCCTTGCATGGTACATACTTTAGGATTTGATGATGTTGCCACACTTTTCATGCTGAAACAAGGTGATTGTACTATATGCAACCACTGCATGTCTGCATACCAGTTCAGAGCTGACTAACTATGTCCTGACCTAGCCCGATTCAGGCCAGACTTGAGCACCCTTTATCGTCTGGAAGACTGGAACTGTCGCCCTGCCCATGAACATCTCTACTTACCAATTACCTTAGCTTACCGTTATCCAAGTAACAGAAACCTGGAACCACTTTGCTGATGAGCTAACTTATGCTTCCCATCGGTTTGAACTTTGTTTGCAGGCATCGAGCAACCACATTCCAGATTCTCGCCTATCTTTTGTTGAAGGTGCTCGAGACGTGGCTGTTTTGGAGGCAATGCTCGAGTCTGGAACAAAGCAAGGAGCCGTCGTCCCTGTCAAAACATTTTGACCAGATCAAAGATTCCTGCTGTAGCATGATATTTTGCTCGCTCTAAAAAAAAAATACTGAGGTGCTTATATTTTACGGAGTAGTCTATGGATTCTTTCATCTGAAATTTTTAAGTAAAAATTATGTTCTTAATTCTTTGTCGATCCAATTGATCTCTAAAACCGGCACCTCCTAGAATGAAAGAAATTAGTAAGAGATAGAAATAAAAATCGATGTGATGATCGAAACTCCAGAAAATATTTGTGGCTCAATTAATTGTTTTTCTTTTCTAATGAAATTAGTTTTGGTTAACTTCAGCATTATTGTAGTCAGACAAGTGAACCTGAAAAATCTCAAGAAAACTGAAACAGATGGCGTTGGAGCAATGTGAGTAAGGAACGTGTTCAACCAACCACACCTAACACCAACTGCCTTCAAAATTACTACCTCTGGTGGTAAATTTGAAATTTTTGATTAATACTCTACTGTATTGACTGTATCCGCCTGTTGCTAGAACAAAGTCGATATGATTTAAAAACAAGTCGATTTAGGATGTCTTTAACATGCCCATTCCTACCTTAAAAACCCAAAACTTAAAGCAACAGACATTGCTACATCTACCCATTGAATAATAATTGGATTCCATTACTAGTAGACCATTAAAAACTATCTTAATTAATAACAATTGGATTCCACTATAACCAATCTTCATTAGGGTCGGATAATTACCCGATTGGGTAAACCTAGCTTTCTCCTTTTGCGTTACTATTTCTGGACCTTTTTCCTTTTTCTTTTTCTTTTTTTTCCTTTTGAACAACTGGACCATTAAATAATACAAAAACACCTCCATTAATTGGTAAGCCAATCACATAATGTAATCAGAAGATTAATAAAAGGTAATTATTGTAGTTATTAATCCGACCAAATTACTATCCACACACAATCGCACGTGCCAAAGCCGACCAACAACCTCCACGTGTGTACCTCGGGTACCCAGGTATAGAAAATTACTTTTATTTTTTTACTGCTTTTTATGGTTCACATTGTAACTGCATTTTTCCAAATTTACAGTTTTATGTAGTATCTTAATATAAAGCGTTCTTTTCTATATAGTCTTACTCTTACACTTTTGCCAGTCCACAAAATTTCGTTTCCCAAATTCCATTAATATATTTTTCAATCATTTCATTATTTTTAAAATTTTATTTGTTTATTTTTTTTTTGGGGGGAAAGAATTGTTATCATAGAAACAATAAACAATAATTTTCTCAAAAAATGCAAAACCATATTTACAGTTACCTGACTTCAGTCTTCAACAAATTTCCTGTTTGTTTTGAGTTGGTAAGCAACTTTGCTTCTTCCCATCAACTCCACCTTTTTTACTTCAACAAAATCATATTTTTTCCTTTTTTTTTTTGAGGATTTTTGTTATTTTTTGTTAAACCAAACACTACTTTAGCTGGTAATTCCACAAGTAAAATGAAATGCAGATCTGCCTCTTATTTTTGCTTCTGTAAGTACATCATTTTTCATGCAAATATATGTTTTTAACAATTACCATTTGCTGAAACTAAATAAAAATGAGACGTTTGTGCATACCCTATATGAAAATCCTGGATCCGCCACTAGATAGGCATAAACTTGTTATCACGGTTGTTTTTCTCTTGTATGCTTCTTTCTGCAACAACACATGTTTCAGTCTTTTAATCTTAGTACTACTGTAATTTAACTTTGTTTCTTTTTTCCTCTAAAAATAGCAGGCGTTCTTGCTGTCTGAATCAGACTGTAAGTACTATTTTTAAGAGTTTGCTTCACTGAAACACTTCACTTTTGCTAAATTTTATTCAGTTACTTTCTTCTTTAATCCCTTTGAATTGTCTGCCATTTTTTTGCTTTTGACTGTTGCCAATTTTTTCAGTTTACTTGCTGATTACTCTAATGACTTCCCTTAAGATACCATGTTCTTGAATTCTTAATAGACTAAACCCCATTATTTCAACTCAATTCTTCCATAAACAAGAGAACATACATTCAATTTAGTGAATTGTGAACGCGTTTTTGTAAGTTTTTAAAATGAAGCCAGCTCCTCCCCTGGAGGAGTTTGCACTGAAGGAGACTTCTCCAGCGTTAGGTATGGCAGGGTTAGCAGGGGATAAGCTAACCTCCACCTATGATTTGGTCGAGCAAATGCAATATCTTTATGTTCGCGTAGTTAAGGCTAAGGAGCTGCCTGGGAAGGATGTAACAGGCAGTTGTGACCCTTATGTAGAAGTAAAGCTAGGGAACTATAAAGGAGCAACTAGGCATTTTGAGAAAAACACAAAGCCTGAGTGGAACCAAGTGTTTGCTTTCTCGAAGGAACGAATTCAATCTTCTATTGTGGAGATTGTGGTGAAGGATAAAGATTTTGTTAAGGATGATTTCATTGGGAGGGTTATATTTGACCTTAATGAGGTGCCGAAGAGGGCTCCACCTGATAGTCCTCTTGCTCCTCAGTGGTATAGGCTTGAGGGTCGAAAAGGTGATAAGGGAAAAGGGGAGCTCATGTTGGCTGTTTGGATGGGGACTCAAGGTGATGAGGCATTCCCCGAGGCTTGGCATTCTGATGCTGCTTCTGTTGGTGGTGATGCTGTAGGGAAAATACGGTCCAAAGTTTACCTTTCGCCAAAGCTTTGGTATGTGCGGGTTAATGTCATTGAAGCACAGGATTTGGTGCCTAATGACAAAAGCCGGTTCCCAGATGTCTATGTTAAGGCAATGCTTGGAAATCAGGGTTTTAAGACTAAACCCAGTCTAGCTAAGACCCTGAACCCTATGTGGAATGAGGACTTGTTGTTTGTGGCTGCTGAGCCATTTGAAGAACCCTTGTTCTTGAGTGTGGAAGATAGGGTTGGGCCAGGGAAGGACGAAACATTAGGAAGATGTGTTATTCCATTGCATACTTTGCAAAGGAGATTGGACCATAAGCCGGTGAACACTCAGTGGTACAACCTTGAAAAGCACATTATTGTCAATGGGGAAAAGAAGGAAACTAAGTTTGCTAGCAGGATTCATCTGCGGATCTGTCTGGATGGCGGTTATCATGTGTTGGATGAATCTACTCATTACAGTAGTGATCTAAGGCCAACTGCCAAGCAATTGTGGAAGCCGAGCATTGGAATCCTGGAGCTCGGGATTCTAAGTGCTCATGGACTTATGCCAATGAAAAACAAGGATGGAAGAGGGGCAACTGATGCCTACTGCGTGGCTAAGTATGGCCAGAAATGGGTTCGAACAAGAACCATCATTGACAGCTTTCATCCAAGATGGAACGAGCAATACACTTGGGAGGTTTTTGATCCTTGTACTGTTATTACAATCGGGGTGTTTGATAATTGCCATCTACATGGAAATAATGGAACAAGAGATTCAAGAATTGGGAAGGTGAGGGTGAGGCTTTCAACCCTTGAAGCTGATCGAGTTTATACACACTCATACCCTCTCATAGTCTTACATCCTTCGGGAGTAAAGAAGATGGGTGAAGTTCAATTGGCAGTGAGGTTCTCTTGCTCATCATGGATCAACATGTTGCATATGTATTCTCATCCACTGCTACCCAAAATGCATTATGTTCATCCGTTATCAGTCATACAGCTCGACAGCTTGAGACACCAGGCTACACAAATTGTTTCAATGAGACTCAGTAGGGCAGAACCTCCTTTGAGAAAAGAGGTAGTGGAGTTTATGTTGGATGTCGATTCTCATATGTGGAGTATGCGAAGGAGCAAAGCAAACTTCTTCAGAATCATGAATGTTCTGAGTGGGATGATTGCAGTTGGCAGATGGTTCGATCAAATCTGCAACTGGAAAAACCCGATCACCACTGTTCTTATTCACATTCTCTTCATAATCCTTATTGTTTATCCTGAACTGATTTTGCCCACTATGTTTCTCTATCTATTCTTAATTGGCATTTGGAACTACCGATGGAGGCCTAGGCACCCGCCTCATATGGATACTCGTCTCTCACATGCTGATGTGGCGCACCCTGACGAGCTCGATGAGGAGTTTGACACATTTCCTACTTCTCGGGGGAATGAAATCATCAGGATGAGGTATGATCGGCTAAGAAGTATAGCAGGGAGAATTCAGACCGTTGTGGGGGACTTGGCAACTCAAGGTGAGAGATTTCAGTCACTGCTCAGCTGGAGAGATCCAAGAGCTACTGCATTGTTTGTTACTTTCTGTTTGGTAGCTGCAATTGTGTTGTATATAACTCCTTTCAAAGTGGTCACCCTCTTCTATGGCATCTACGTGTTGAGGCACCCTAGATTCCGGAAGAAGCTTCCATCAGTTCCGATCAACTTCTTCAGAAGGCTACCTGCAAGAACTGACAGCATGCTGTGAGAAAAACTATAATTGCACTTTGTTCATTCATGTGCAGTCTGATATAATGTGGTTAGTTAATGTTCATTTCAATGGATTTATTAGTTTTCCTTTTAAATTGTCCTAAGGTTTGATGTTTGAATGTGATAATTTTTAGTAGAAGATCATGATTTCGAATTATTTTGACAGTCTTCTGCTGTATTCACTTAACTAATCTGAAAATGTAATATTTGACATGTCTACATGTATTATATAACTTTCCAATCAACATCATTAAGCATGAAATATATAACTATGATGAAGATCGATGATGACGACGATGTTGTTAAGAATTTTCGAAGGATATATGGTCCCTATTCAACTTTTAACCCAACAGGGAGCTTTGAAGGGCCATTTTTCCATTGAAATGTCATAATTGTTTACTTGCTTTTGCTTTTTGTTGAACTTTATGCAATGAATCTTGTACTACTACTTATTTCAATAACTGAAAAAGCTCCATTAATCTGTAAAAGCCAAAGCATCTCACTGCTTTGTTGTGATTGTACTACCCTGGTCTTTGATGCCCTTTTTACGAACGCATTTACTAGAATACTAGGTAGGAGTCCGTAGCTCCTAGTTTTGCAAGCAGCAATAACAGTAAACCATTAATTTTACAAAAATGAACATCTTATGGATTAAAACAAGCTTCTCAAACACCAGGTACTGAGAATTAATAGCTACTTATTTATGAAATTTAACTTCCCTTAAGCAAGGGTAAAAGCATACAATGGATAATCAAATTCGAGTTATGGTTATAATATTACAAACTAGCATGTCTCTATTTTCGACCTTGTATTTCTTGCAGTTGCTTCATTTCAATCACTTGCATGGAAAAACAGGGAAGACTTGAACATGGGGGACTTGATTGTGTTCTTCACCAACTGCTTCTGATATACTCCGTATCATTTATACCTAATTCTCTTATCCTATACCCAAGTTAATGTAAGCCATTTCTTTCGCAGTCCAGCTTAGCCTAATTACTTGCAGAGGCACCAAATCTTGTTAGCTGAACATCTGACACAAAATTAACCCTTGGGAATTTGGGGATGCCTTGATATACTTTCATTTTTCCACGGCTGCAGTTAAAAAGAAGAAAGATATGTTAAACAAGAAAGCTTGAATGTTTCAAACTCCATCGTAAAAATCTTTACTAGAAAGTTGAACTCCATCAATTAGCTTCTAACACACTATCCATTTACTCCTAAATGCCACTCAACGCCTCACAATTTCAATGGCTAAGAATAGTTTGATAAACCTTAAGACTCAACTCAAGCTCAGATGTAAATGTTACAGGCCAAGTGGAGCAATCATAGCTTGAATTCAGCCAGCTGGTTATCATCCCTAAACAAATGGCTTAAAAAGTAAATTAGCATGACTTTTCACCCTAATCTATCTTCACCTCTAAACATAAACATCAACATCAAATGTAATAGGAAATAGCAGACTAGTATTGGGTCACGTCTGTCTTTGTTTGATGAGTTAAGTGTCTATTGGTTGGACAAATGCTTGGCGTCAAGCCATTCTATATTTATTGAGTTTCATCCGGTACTAATATGAATCAACAGTCAAACAGGTTTTGCCATCAGATTCTTCATGCTAATTCATTCAATTATGAATAGATAGGCTATCATTTAATTAGATTTACATGTTTAAGACCCCAAATGTAGTAATGTACCTAGTAAATTGATACGATTAAGGCTAGCTGGTTTTAGGAACAACTAAAGATATTCCATTACTCTCGGTGAGCTACTTAGAATAAACAATTATTCATTCACAGCTTATGGCACAGCCAAATAGCCAATACATCAAATTTTCTACAAAAACTTAAGTATAAGGTTTGGCACTTCTGACTGAGCTATATATGCTGGTCTACAAACTAAAATACTAGAAGTAGCTATGTAAGGATGATATTAAGCACTCCAGGATCGTCATAGGCTCAAGCCACGCATACTTTTGATCTTCAGGAAGAAACTAGAACTCACACGCATCGGGCTCTATCAATGATTTCCTCAAAGTATACAACTATTACCACATAATTAGTATCCATCTAAAACCTTGAATGGTGTAACATCAGATGCTTTCATAGCTTCCTGATGTTCTCTAATTATAAGTCTTGTTAACTTCCCCTCAAAAAAAAAAGTTTTGTTAACTTCCACTAAGATAACCTTCAAATATTCTACTCGACATTCACAGAACTTCAATTTCAAAGTTCAAATTACAGCACAGCAATCAATCTGAAAATCAAAGATAATCCTCAAACATTCTTCACTCTCAAATGATCATGCTCTTACACAATAGAACATCTACAAAACAACTTTAACTTGCACTCACCTCCTTTAACAGCCAAACCTTACCTCAAAATTCCCTACATTTCCACTCATCTTTCTCGAAATTCACTTACATAAGTCAATAAACAAGATTATCCTCTTGAAATGGCAAAATTTTGACATTGACAAGATTATACTTTGTCTAATGAACCAAATTGAGGCTCACCTATGTTGCTATGTATCAAGTGGTATCAACTCTGAGCATAATCATGGTCTAATCAGTAATATATTAAACAAATGCAAATTTTGGTCTAATCAGTAATATATATTAAACAAATGCAAATTTTTCTATTGAAAATTGTAAAATAAATCAAACTTCTAAGCCAACATCCATCTCAATCACACCACACCCTAATGTATACCAATCAAATTTTGATTAACCAAAAAAAATCAAATTTTGATTGAATATTGGTGTTATTACCCAACAAAAATCATTGCATATGCTAATTACCCAAATCACTCAAAAAGATAAAAAAACAAAACATCATAAAAAAATCCAAATTTATCAACAAAGTAAAACAAAATCAAGAAACTTACCATGAGAAATATCATAACTTTCTTCACTTATGATTCAAATTTGTGGGAAATTATGCTAAAAAAGATTAAGGGTAATCTTAATCTTGATCTTGATGTAGAGAGAGGCAAACAGAGAGATTAAGACGAGCTTCTTGACATTGCGACCGTTTCAAGGCGGTGCCACCGCTAGAACAGAGCGATTTAACGGCTTCCAATTGAGATGGGCAAATTACGGCGACAAGACAGTCGGAAAAAGCGCGGTTGAGATGACGGCAAGCTGATTTTCTCGCCGGACCCGCCGGAATACGGCGGTGACAGTCGAAGAGAGCGTTTTGTAGTCTCTCACATCCTCCTTTTCTCACCCCTTCTTTCCAATCTTCTTCCATTTCACTATTTTTTCCCCTCTCTACGAGACTATGACACTCCAAAGTTACGGGGAGCCCCGATTAATAAGGCTGATATATAATCAGGGAAAGTAGTAGAAATTGTTATATACCTGTGATTTTTCTCTATTTTATACCTATGGTTTTGTGGATGTCAATTAATTTTTGAGTTAAATTTTATTTCAAAAATAGTTGGAATTCCAAAATAATTTTAGATAAAATTTCGTGTTTATGTAGGAAAAAAAATACTGTGTATATTTTATACTCTTTAGTTTTAATTTTTAAAATTTGTACAATGAACTCTTTACAATTTTTTTTTTCTTTTTTTTTTTTTAAAAAAAAAAAAAACTCTACAATATTAATTGGTTGTTACTAACCAAACTTAGTGGTAAGGAACTAAGAGCATCATTATTGGTGAACACAAAAAAATGGTTCATGGGTCACTATCACCATTTCTCTCTCATCCACATCAACCCAACAAACCATTTACAATATTCACTCTTAACAATGAACACTAAACAATGGTTCATCATCGATACTCCCTACCCCACCTTATTTTATTTTTGTAAATATAATCTTTTTTGTTTCATTATAATTTATTAACCCGATGTCAATGTAATTAATTGACGTATTTAATATTTTAATCGTGATTACTAATTAAGAAATTATCGCATTTTTTTATCAGCTTTTTAAAAAACTAATTCTTGTGATTAATATTATTTAAACAACAACGCAGCTAATTTTAATTAACAAAAAAAAAAGAGGTACAAATCGTGATTACAGTTCTACAACTATAATCTAGTACATTTTATTTAAAAAAAAAAAAAACAACTACACATCGTTTTGTAAGATGTCCTTAGGGATAACCATTTGTTGTAAACCTAGTTGCCTAAGTTTTCGTTGTTACCAAATTTATTCCATATATGTTCGACCAAGTCGTTTTTTAGCTGCAAATGAGTCTGTTGATCCTCAATCTCTGTTTTACGAGACAAGTATAAGCCGATATCCACAATACGATCAGTACGGTACTCGGTAGTGTCCTCATTAGCGTTGCCTCCAGCATTCATAAACTCATTGGTATTAACGTTATTTTGATACGTCTCTCGTTCATCTTCAACGATCATATTATGTATTATGATGCAGGCGAGCATGATATTGTGGAGTATGTCGGTATCCCACGCCAAAGACGGCTTTTTAATAATGGCAAAACGAGCTTGAAGGACCCCAAATGCGCGTTCAACGTCTTTCCTTGCAGCTTCCTGGTGTTTTGCGAATAAACGATCCTGACGAGTTTGTGGACTCGTAATGGATTTCACAAAAGAAGCCCATCTAGGGTAGATTCCATCAGTAAGATAATACCCATTCGTATAATGATGACCATTGACTACGAAGTTCACAGGAGGTGTTCGACCCTCTAAGATGTCTTCGAACACAGGGGATCGATGAAGCACATTAATATCGTTGCAGCTACCTGGCATCCCAAAGAACGAATGCCATATCCATAGATCTTTGTCCGCAACTGCCTCCAGTACGAGAGTTGCAACTCCTTCTCTTCCTTGATACTGCCCCTTCCATGCGTGTGGACAGTTCTTCCACTCCCAGTGCATACAATCAATGTTGCCTATCATGCCAGGAAATCCACGTTCTTCCCCAATACGTAGCAATCTTTCCATATCTGCGATGTTTGGACGGCGTAGGTACTGATCACCGAACAGGTTGATGACACCTTCTGTAAACTTTTGGAGTGCCAATCGTGAAGTTGCCTCACTTATACGGACATACTCATCACAAGCGTCTGAAGCACACCCGTAAGCTAGTTGTCTAACGGCCGCAGTGCACTTTTGAAGTGGAGACAAACCAAGACGACCTGCCGCATCTCGCCTTTGTTGAAACCAGGGGTCATGTTGGGTCACTGCGTTGAGAAGGCGCTCAAACACATGTTTACGCATTCGAAACCGGCGCCGGAACAAGGAACTTGGATAAACTGGGACTTCCGCGAAATAGTATTTGTATAACCGTGCATGACCTTCTTCGCGTCCC